CCTTTTCAAAGGAACTAACTTAGCACAGGGACTTAAAAGGAAAGAATATTCCTTGCTACTTTAAACAATTGAGTACTGTCCGTGATACTTTTTTTATTTGCACTAACATACAATTTTGAGGACAAGCTTGGGGGGGAGTGTCCCCTTCTTCAAGGTCCAAGCAGTACTGCTTGGATCTTGAAGAAGGGGACACTCCCCGAAAGCTTGTCCTCAAAATTGTATGTTAGTGCAAATAAAAAAAGTATCACGGACAGTACTCAATTCTTTCTGTCGCAAATGCACTAATACGGCTACAATCACCCCTTGCTACTTTAAAATGGATTATGTTATTTGAATACGATAGCAAATGCTTATTGTTTTATAATTTAATGTTTGTTGCCACATTTGCTTGAATAAAAAAGTGAGGCAGGCCATACATGAATCATCATCTTTCATTCAACCAGCATGTTGACCAAATATAAATGAACTGATTCCCTATCCACACATTTGAGGTTGATGGGGAAATACTTCTCGTATAGCTATTGTAATCTGACAACAGGGAGACTTCCCCACCATCATAATACACACATCAGAATCCTCGACTACATTTTTGAGTCAAACTTTTCCAATAGGTTGGTTGTGCAACGAGCCTGCCCATAAATGGATCTAAATTTAGCAGGTCCCTGTTGAATCGGCCCCATTTTGATCCCTCTATGGGCAACTTGAGTCTTATTTAACTGAGCCCACCTGGACATTCTTCTGTTGAGTGATGAGAAGTTGAAGAAGATGTTCAGCTAATCTGTATGGACTTTGTGCAGCGAGGGTTGGAGTGCCTGGTGTGTACTCTGCCCTAGAAAAAGGTAAAGTGAGTGCCGAGGAACTAAATTTGTGGGTCATGTCTGGTTTACCTGGGACAAGGAACCGCTAAATTTTGTGTAAAGAGAACCAGAGACCAACCTATAAAATATGGAGGCTTGTCCTTAGGGATAGAGCTCCCTTGCAGTGACCATGCCTGTGTGAAGTATGTTTCGTGAGTTGCAAAAGTGAACTTCTGGCCACTTAGAATTTGGCAGAACCATGTAAGAACCCCCAAGGTGGTGGTTTCCTATCTCAGACAAAAGGGGGAAAAGTCTTTCATTTGGTTACAGTAGTAGCAGAAAGTCTTCTAGGACCACCATCCTTATCATGTGACTGAATGCGGGGAGCAGCAAAGGAAGCTAATGCAGGAAGATGTGTTTGGAAAAATCCATTTCCTTTAGGCACACCCACCTTCCACTATGTTTAGAACTAACTCCCAAGGAAGTCTTTCCTCATTTTCGCAGCTCTTATTAGTCGTATTTTCATCACAGGCCAAAGGTTCCCAGTCCTCACCTACTTGTCTTTACCACTGAATCACCTTCTTAGAATGTGCATACTTCTTCCCAATAACATTTTTCTGTCTTAGCTAAGAATGTCCATACAGCCAGAAATAGTGTTCCAAAAAAAGCATTGCTATCATGCAAACTGGATACAAATTTACAAGTCAAAAATGTTCCTAATATAACTCCTTTATTTAGTAATGTAACAGAAGTGGCAGTAAAAATACAATATCCAAATGAGTACATTATCTAGCTGTTTTGTCTTCTTGACTTTGCATTGAAAAAACTTTCAAGCCAAAGGTGCAATAAAAGCATTTTTCAATAGACTCACAATGGCTGCCATTAAAACAAGTTGTAATGCTTTCATTAGGTTATATATTTTTTTCTTTTAACTCAGTAGTAAAAGATTGGAAGTAGAAGAAACTGATTGAGATTTTATTAAGCAGGGAATTGCATGATTTACCAATCCTCCGTTTTATGGCTCTTATCACGTATGTATATTTCACTGATGGCTTAGACCACTTTATGACTTCTGTTAAATTTGAAAGAATTCCATTTAGAAATAAAATAATGAGGAACATAATGTACACTACCTAGGCATCTCTATTGCATATGGCAGGAATCCAAGGCAATTATGTTGATAAAGTACATTCTGTGCGCAAACAACATTTATTTAAACCTTTACGTTCACTCTGTGGACAAAACATTTTGTCAGATCTCATATATCAAATTGTCAACTCAAGTTTTTAATCAGTTTATACGGAGAGCTAATTGCTACATGGAGAACTATTACAGAATTTCCTGATAGGATGATATTGATAGATTTGGAATAAACTGTAGTTTTGGTACATCGAGTTGCTTGGTAGATTTTTAGTAATATAAAAAGGCCCAGGCTGATTTTAGTTTTATTGATACTGGGGTAATAAAATTCATTCACTTTGGATTAGTTAGAAACTGGAAACATGAAGATATTATTTTATTTCAAAGATAAGTGTACCTCTCCAAGCTTCTGCATCAATAAGCATTGGGCTTCTTACCTAAAGTCTTTAAAAAATTATGGCTTTTTACTTTGGGAGCCTTGCTGAGTGTGGCCACAGCATGTACCCAACCTGGGGTAGATTGTGCTCAATTAGTCTAGTGCAAGGGGCAGTGTAGGAATAGGGCAATGCCACAAAGAACAACATTTTTTTGTGAATGTGAAGACAGGCTGCCAAAGGAAAAGGGAAAGAGGGAAGTAGGGTGTAGGGAAGGTTTTTAGAAAAAGCTGTGGTGGTGAAACACCCCTACATATGGGAAAAGCACACCCATTTCAGGCAAATGATAGACATTGCAATGATTTATTACCAAACATCATTCTAGGTTTATGCCTGTATTTGATCTCGGGCCATAACACTAAACTCCTCATACAGATGGCTAAATGTAAGGGTCTGTCTACTATATTCTACTCACTGAAACTGCCCTACTAAAACTCACTAACTGCTAAAACCAATGGCCTCTACTCTGTACTCTTACTATTTGACCTCTCTGCAGCTTTTGATATGGTTCACCATCCCCTCCTCCTCAAAAAACTCCACTCTCTTGGCCTCAGAGACTCTGCTCTCTCCTGGTTCTCCTCCTACCTATCGCAGCGCTCCTTCTGCATTACCTATAACTCTGGTTCCTCCTCTTCACTCCCTCTTTCTGTAGGGGTCCTTCAAGGTTCCATCCTTGGACCCCTACTCTTCTCCATCTACACCTCCTCCTTGGTCACTTGATAAACTCCCATGGCTTTAAGTGCTATCTCTATGCTGATGACACACAAATCTATCTTTCTACCCCTCACCTCACCCCTTCAGTCTCCTCTAGCATTACTAACCTACTAAGTGACATATCGGCATGGCTGTCACTCCACTTCCTCAAACTCAATTTTTCCAAAACTGAGCTCTTAGTATTCCCTCCAGCCCATGCCCCCTCCCCTGACTTCTCTATCAAGATCAATAACACAACCATCAGTTCCTCCTCTCATGCCAGGGTACTAGGTGTAATCCTAGACTCCCATCTGTCCTTTCACCCCCAAATCCAATCACTGTCCAAATCTTGTAGACTTCACCTCCGCAAAATCTCCAAGATATGCCTGTTCTTAACCTTGGAAACTACTAAACAACTTATTCTCTCCCTGGTTATCTCTCGCCTATTGTAACTCCCTCGTCATTGGCCTACCTCATTGCAGGCTATCCCCTCTTCAGTCTATCATGAATGCTGCTGCCAGACTCATCCACCTTATTAACCACTCCATATCTGCCACCCCTCTCTGCCAATCCCTCCACTGGCTTCCCATTACCCAACAGATAAAATTCAAAACATTAACAATAACATATAAAGCCATTTATAACTCTGCTCCAAATTACATCACCACTCTTGTCTCCAAATATCACCCAAACTGTACTCTCCGCTCCTTGCACGACACGACCTCCTGCTTTCTAGCTCCCTTGTCTCCTCGTCCCATGCTCATCTCCAGGACTTCTCAAGAGCTTTCCCCATCCTCTGGAACTCTCTACCCCAATTTATCAGACTATCGCCTACTCTGCTCACTTTTAGACGATCTCTGAAAACTTATCTTCAGGGAAGCCTATCCTGCCCTCAGCTAATAATGGAATCTTATACTCTTCCTACCAGTCCATCCCCCACAGTTACTACCTTTTGTACCACTAGCCCCTCCCTCCTAGATTGTAAGCTCCAAGAAGCAGGGCCCTCCTAACCCTCTTGCATTGAACTGTATTGTTGCTGTATTGTCTCCTGTTATATTGTAAAGCGCTGAGCAAACTGTTGGCGCTATATAAATCCTGTATAATAATAATAATATTGGTGTAGTCCAGTAGTGGTTATTGTACTTGATAAAGAAGGCTTCAAGTACATTACCTGACATCAGTAAAGGGTGGCAAAAAATATTCAGTGAATGGAATGCAACAGAAAGCTGCCAGAGACTGTAGATGTGCAGCAAGAACATGCAACAAGAGATGGTCAGAGACTGAAGACATGCTGCAGGAGATAGTTAGAGCAAGGAGACTCATTACATAAGAATGCTAGAAATCACTGCAATTACAGCCACTTTAAAAAAAAGAATGTTTCCATACTAGTGTTCCCTACAGCCCTCTTAAAAATTATTGTTGCCACATTTGATATATCTCTCTGTAGTATCCATTATAGATAAACATTAGAGGAAAAAAAAAACATAAAAGAAAGAAGGAATGAACTACTTAGAAAAAAGTAAGACAGTGTGAAGAAACCAAACCGATTCAGTTTAAAAAAAAATATTTTTTTGGATAAGCACCAAAACACAGAATACTGTCTCCAGGGGCCCAGAAGGCTGTACAATAAGTGCCAAAGACCCATATGGAACCCCCAAGTGGAAGACTAGGCATGAGTGATTTCATTATTTTTAGTTTTGCTTAAAGAGAAAACTTGCATTTTGGCATCCATTCATACATTTAGTACCTTTATCCGAAAAGCAAAAAGGAGGAAGGTGCTAGGGATGCCTGCACTTATCTCAAACATTGTGCAAACATCTAATAAAGTAATGAACTAATCAAAGAACCAGAAAACAAAATCTCTGGGTGTATTTTTTGCAAAAGAGACCCCAGAATGTCTACAGTGTTGTTAATGTTCCAGGGGTGGACTGACAACTCATGGGGCCCCCAGGCAATAGGGGATCATGGGGCCCCTGTGTCCTTGCCCAAACTCAAAAAAGCCTATGAAAAGGTACCAGGGGCATCTCATGGGGCCCCCTACTGACCCCGGGCCCTCGGGCAGTGCACAAGTTTCCAAATGGTCAGTCTGCCCCTGTAATGTTCTAATAAAGAAAAGTGAGCCATCTCTTTAAATATCAAAAAGAGTAACAAATCAATATCCATGATTAAAAAGGTGAAAATCCATACAAGTGATTAATAAAGGTAAATAATTAGTGAAAAAAAATCCAAGTCATATACCCATCATAAAATATGCAAATCAAGACTCTTAATTGATAAATGTGCAAATATAGAACCACAATTAATAAAAATAAATAATCAAAAAATTACATATCAAATAAAAAAATGCAAAGTTTATATTTAATGTATATGTTAATCACAGCTAGTTTTGAAACTATTTTTTGCATAAGTGCAAACAGTGCATAAATATTATACCAATGAATACTAAAACAAATAAAATATTAAAAAATATCACAAAAACATAGCTGTCTGTAGGCTGCAATTGAGTAATTATTTTTAATAACATTAAATGACAAACTGGCTTATTTAGTGTAGCACCCTGCAGTAATACTAGTTGCAGGATGTTAAATGGACACACGATGGCAGTGTTCTGCAGCTCAGTTATACATACTCTGTTGAAGAAAAGCTTTGTTGAACTCATAGGCTGATAGCAGGATTTCACTGTTTAATAACAAGCTAACAAACTGCATTTCCCAGACTAGCTGGTTGATGGGCGGAGCAAATAAATACAGAAGCCTGGGAACCCGAGGGCAGGAATTGGACAGTGAGAGCTGGAGAGCAGGTGTGAGGAGAAGGCTTTGCGGGATGCTGGAGGCCCAGGCTTGTCCAGACCTCAGGGAGTAAAGGAGTGAGGAGAGATTGCTGACACCGCTGACAAGTCGCACTAACAATCCTGTGAGCAGATGAACCGGAGTGCTGTCATCTGAAGTGATCTTTGATGGAGGAACCAAGAGAACATGGGGGCCCCCCATTTGTAGAGAGACTATTCGCTACCTGATCGAGGCCACAGATGGGGTGGTAGAGCTCCAAATCATCTAAGTTGCAAGTGACATTACTAAATTCAGTTACTTTCTTCTCAGTTTAGCATTTTTTTTGCTAAGGCCTAGATTGACAGGCCAGTTCTGCCTACTAATTATTACACTCTTAACACATCAAATCACAGGAGTCTGCTGCAAAATATGCACCCTGCATACGTGAAAAAGAGACTCCAATATCTACACCTTCAATACTTCATGGTATATCCTTCTGGGCATGTGTTGTGGCCAAAAGAAAGTTCAATTTCTTAAACTCGTCCCTGGCAGCCTTGAACTGGATGGACCACTTCCGTAATTGACCATACCTATTTCAGCCACCTTATGAGCCTAATCAGCTCTGGTGCTCTTTGGATGATGTCAACACTTACTAGCTGAATCAGCATCTCAGCTATCTTAGATTATACTAGCATAGGTTCAACAGGATCCTGAAACTACAGTAACACTTCTGTCAATTGCCCTCTCTCTGTGCTTGCCGCCACCATGATTGTCTGTATCTAGAATCTATCTGCCAGCTTAAAGTGTTGGTATCTGTTGGGTGCAAGGGAATATATCATAGGTTTTTCATAATTGCTTCTTTTTTGGGGAATTCTATCCCGTTTGTTCCCGGTCTTCTGCTTCTGGCAGATGCAACATTGAAGTACCCCCTTTTGCCAATGTGTTTGGCCTTTACAAAAAGCTTTCGACAGCTATTAAGCTGCTTGCAGGTGTAGATAGCCAAAGATATCTCTCAAGTGCCTGCTGCACAGATACACTCTCTTTGTTTACATGTGATTACTAATTCTAAAGGCCTCCTTGGACTTGAAACGTTTAAACATGTTGGGTGTTTTTATATGGCTTTTATTGCTGACAATTAAAATGATCTTGGACTTTTTTATCTGGTTTTTGTTTAGTGGTCCTTTCTGTATGTCTATGGTTTGAGTTGTCAAAAAAAAAGTTGTGTTTGCATGTCATAACTGTAATCTATTGGCAGGAGACTCATGTGACTGCAGAATCCTTCAAATTCTCACAGAGGTGGCCAGTATGCCCTATCACTCCTCTTACTTAGAGGTAATGCAGGAAACTAAATTGCTCCATCTATGGCTGGCTTTAGAAAGGAATTTATGAGGCGTCAGTATGGTATATAAAAAGTGATATTCAATAGTTTGTCTAAAACCAAAAGTTTTTATTCATAATATTAGCAATATTTATAACAATATTTATATTAATATAAAACATCCTCACGTCAATAACATTACATTTTATAGAGTATTACTTTACACATGCCATTTATCACTCATCTGATAGCATTTTGTGTTCTGAGATATTCATAAACCAGCTATCTATCTCAGATAGATGGGAGTGATTATCTACAAATGGAAATGATTATCTACAATTGTAAAAGCTCATGGTAAGACATAAATATTACAACAAATATTTTTCATATATTGTACATACAAAAATTTGATCTACGTAATAGCATTTGTGTGACAGCCCATTTGAACATTACTAGATCCATATGGGACTGCAGGAGATGAAATGTAAGTCCTTAGCGTCCTTATCCTGGGGTTCTATGAAAAAATAGGATACATTTTTCTGATGGTAAACAACACTACTTGCCTGTCTTCACCTTATTTAGCAATATACTTAATAATTAACCTAATTGGGACTTGATAGACAAAATAGTGTGGACAAGTGTGTATTATATAATATTATACAAGAACTTATACGTTAACTTCCAAGCCTTAATGAGGACATTTTTGTAACATTTACATATCCAGTACTTTAAGATTAACTTATGCACCTAGAAAAGTGTCCTAGCTATGGCTTTTTTGGGTATATCATCATAAGGAATATCACAAAGAATGCGTAACAAACATTGTTTAGGGTCTTCACATACAAGAACCTGAAAGACCTTGTTAATAGTGGCTATGACCCCCTTCCTGTATTGATGCATCACCATAAGAGGTGTAATAAATCACCATGATCCCTACTGCAGCGTGTACAAGTTGGTTTGTCTTTCATTCCCATACAAAATAGTCTTGCAGGTGTATAATGTACCTTCAAAAGCAAGTATAACTGTGAAAGCCATTGAGCAACATTCATAGATCATTGTTGGACTGCTAATAGAGCCTCTTCCCACTGTTCCTCCTCAAAAATCCCATCTTTTTTCCAACAGGAAGCTACTCTAAAAGGACAATCCTTTAGGAAAATATTCCATAGGGTGGAATAACATTGTGATATAATTCCCTTATAGAAGTTCACCTCATAGATGTAGTTAAATATGAGGATGGATGATTGCACCCAAAGGTCAACCTGTTGTGCTTGAACCACATGCTGGAGTTGTAAGTAAAAAAATTACATTGATTGAGGAAGACATAATGTCCTTTGTAGCTCTTAAAGGGACATAAGACTTTAGCAGAGAAAATATGATAGAAGTAGATTATACCAATTGTTTCCCTTTAGCACTATATTGCAATACTGCTAGATTTAAATAGTGGGCATTCCCAAAAATTGGGCTAAATCATGTATTTGTTTGATAACATATAAAAGAGGATGTTATGCTGAGTAAATAAATACCAAATATGACATGCTTTAAAATTGCGCACATCCGTTCAACAGCGACAAACTACACACATCTTTAATGTCCATAGGCGATGCTTTAAAAACCTTTACAAGTTACCACTTTAGAATTACAGAGGTCTAGTGCTAGAATGACTGCACTCAATATGACGTTCACGGTGATATCTCACATGCATGCCAAAATCTCTGTTTACATACTGACACTGGATCGACACTTGTGTTCACCTTTGTGTGTGAACAAGGGGGGACGGGGGTAATTTTTTTTTTAATCTCTTCCATGCCGCCCTATAGCAGAAATACTGCTACAGGGCGGCAAGGCTGAGCAAAATCACACATATACTGTGTGTGTATATATATATATATATATATATATATATATATATATATATACGTGATTTTGCATTTCTGGATGGGGGCCCTACGCACGCTGCCATTGGTAGCCTCGGCTGTCGATCACTGGTGATTCCCCGCTGCACCCAGTGATAGCCGAGTATCATGCATGGGGGAGGCCTGTATGTAAATACTACAGATCTCTTCCCTGTCAGCTCCTGCACACTGCTTTGTATGGCTCTGGATAGTAGAGTCATACAAAGCAGTGTGCTTACAGTGTAAAGCACACACACAGCACACAGAAACAGTTAACTCTTTGATCACCCCAGATGTTAACCCCTTCCTGCCGAGTGTCATTTATTTTTTATTAGCACTGATCACTGTATTGGTGTCACTGGGGATGTCAGTGACAGTCAGCTCCCCTCTACTGTCAGAATGCCCGCCGCAGTCCCGCTATAAGTTGCTGATTGCTACCATTACTAGTAAAAAAATAAATAAATAAATAAATAAATAAAAAAAATTCCAGTATATATACTGGATGGTGCCCGGGCTGCTATTAGAGCTGCCTTAAAGAAGCGGCTGCACGATCTTCATCTGGAGACCAATGTAGACCTGCTGATCTGTTTAAACTGTGTGCTGTTTCTCCAAAGACTGGCTACAGAAGCTTGACTAAAGGCTATTGAGAACAGATTCTCTGTGATAAAGTCAGCACATATCAGAGCCGTGGTAAAGGTGGTGTTAACTATGTAGAGAGATATTTGCCATCTTAGACCGCAGTGTTCAGTAAGAAGCTTCTAACTCATTCTGGTATCTGGAGAGATCCTTCTGGGAGTCCTGGACTCATCTGTTGGGCTTGATATCTGCTTTGTTTGACCAATCTTTCAGGTGGTCAAACGTTCGGTAAAAGGAGAAATGATTGGGTGAAAGGTGAAGGATTCTCACTTTTTGGTTCTGGTTTCATTCAGCACCACTATCACTGGATTTGAAGAGTTTTTGCAGAGACTTTGTTATATTTATTTTGTTACTTTCACCAATATCTTCTCATCTATGGTGATTTGGACATCATTGTTATTATTTATTCATTTTTTATAAGCGCTATCAGTACATATACCGCCATTTGTGAACACTAACTTTCACGTAAACCAATTAACTTACATGTACTGGGATTTTTTT